GGGGGGGGGGGGGGGGGGGTTAACTTCCAATTTCCTCTCTGGGGGTGGTATGGATGTTTTCTGGAATGACCCAATAGCTTTGCCATGATACAGTATAAAGTACAACAAATAGACAGACATACCATATAAAGTACAAGTGGCAGGGTTACCGCAACAGAAATTATACTCCCAATAACTGCGGGCCACCTTTGATAATATAAGCTACCAGAGTTCAGTGCATGTAGACATATTCACACAAACATTACAAACCTTGGGTGGTATAAATGGCCATTTATTATGCCACCAAGAAGGCAACAACCTTGCAACGACTAGGTTCATCCAAAAGTTGCAAATTATAAAAAGTACACACTGTTCCAAATCAAATACATATACATTGGGGGGACACAGCAATGAATGCATACTTTATAGTACATATACTTTGTATTTTTATTCAATTAAAAATAATATATTTAATATTTACATACCGTCTCTAATCGCAGATTCGACAATTGTTTCACTAGTCTCACTACGTGCAGCGTTGCACCCAGAGTGCATATGCTGTCATTGAATTTCAAGGAGCGATGTTTATTTATATAAGCTTTGAAACGTTTCTTCGGTCCAACATCGTCAAAAAACTTCCTCGTTGTTTTCAATGCACTTTGAACAAACCAATTCACCGCAAACTTTAGGTTAGCATCCTGAAACGGCCTATTTGTCGCCATGAATAATTCACGAGTAATTCAATATTCTTATGTCTGTAATTGGACGCCATTTTGGAAATATTATATGGCAGAGCCTTACGTAGCTTCCGTCTTCCCATCATACCTTGCGTAATTTGTCCCCCTCCCCCCTCTTAATATTACGCAATTTTACTAAAAATTCGTAAGGCTCTGCGGAGGAGAGTGCACCTTAAGTAAAAAAAAATACAGTGGACTTACAAATTCATAAACATTATAAAACCATCTATATTACAATAAAAATTTGTATTTTTAAAAAGGTTCAGGTGCCAAAGGCACAGACGACGATTATGTCCTTCAGTTCAGAGAATAATGCAACCTACATTCAGCCTAAAATTACAGAACCGCCTAATACAGTAGTAATTTAAAGTTTATTATTAAAAAGTTTAACTGCACGAGGCATAAACGATGATTTATGTCTTTCGGTTCTGGAAATAATGCGACCTACATTAGAACCTCTTTCTTTAGTTCTAGTGGAATAGTCATGCTTCTGTGCGATAGGGACAAGGTGGTAACAGGGATGGTTTACGTAGCTTATCTCGTCTCTCACTAAGCGGGGTAAGTGTATCGACCGGTAAACCAATGATACGTAGGCTTCTCCTTTGAATACGCTCAAGGTCGTTCACTAAAATACGCTCAAGGTCGTTCACTAAACCAATAATACGTAAGCTTCTCCTTTGAATACGCTCAAGGTCGTTCACTAAATAGTGAGGTAGGCCACCCCAAACTGGTGCGGCATATTCAAGCAGTGGACGAATTTTGGTGCAGTGAGTTGGCAATCTTACTTCAGTAGGAAGATGAGCCTTCCTACACTGCCTTAGATGACACAGTCTCCTGTTTCCCTTACGAGTAATTTCTTTGATGTGAGAATTCCATTTCATGTTACTTTGACAGCTAACACCAAGTAACTTGAATGAATTAACTCTTTCGATCATAACATCCCCGGTATAAAGGTTGGGAGGCTGTAGGATAGATTTACCAAAGCAAATCCACATATCTTTCGTTTTCTTTGCGTTTAACTTCATTCTATTAGCGTTTGACCAGTTCTGAACGGAGTCTAAGACTTTCTGCATGTTGCTACACTCTCCCTTCATGATGCATTCGCTTTGTGTGCAGTCATCGACATAATTATATGTGCTCACCTCAAGATCTTCAGGAACACTCGTATCTAAGTCGTCAATGTGGATATTAAATAGAGTCGGCGAAAGAGCAGATCTTGCGGTACTCCAGCTGGGCAACCCTCGATCGATGAAAGTGTTTGATTTATCTTGACCTGCTGAGTTCTACCAGATAAGAAGCTTTTGACCCACAACCAGAAGCTTTTATTAACATTCATCAATGCAAGTTCATTCAACAGGATCCCATGATCAACTAGATCAAAGGCTTTTTTAAAGTCGATAAAGAGGGCATGGATGCCTGCTTTGTCACGGCAGGTATTGTCAGTAGCATTAAACCATGGCTGTGTGATGGATATCAGAGCCGATGTAGTAGAGCGGCCACTAGTAAAACCATGTTGACTGGGACGTAGTATGATGTCATTTTGATTGAGTTGTAGTTGTACTCTCTCTAGGATTTTCCCAATATGTGGCAAAACAGAGATTTGTCTAAAATCGTTACTAACGTCAGTTGGTGGGTATGCTTTAGGCACAGGTATAACCAGGCCATGTTTGTAATGACTTGGATACTTACACTGTTTAATGCTAGCCGTAATGATGTCATGAACAATCGGCGCTAGAACGCTAGAGAATCGTTTAAGTAACTATGCTGGAACACCATCGGCTCCCGTTGCTTTCGAGTGGTTAAGGTGATTTAGGACGCTGCTAATCTGGCCAATACTAGGTAGAGGGGGAGGATAGTTTTTGAGAAGTAACTCAACTTCATCTAGTTGGGGAATACTTGTTGTAATTAGGTCTTTCCAAGGTTCAGTAAAGGATATTTGAAATTTTTCTGCTAAAGCAGCCTAGCTACCCATGGAGTTTACTGTTAGGCCTTCATGCTGACAACTTACTCCGGACAGATTATAAATTGCTTTGTACCATTTCGCAGGGTCAGATGTATCATTGATGTGAATGAAGCATTATCATTATCATTATCATTATTATTATTATTATTATTATTAAAACTATATTTATTCACGCTTACCCCTTCAACATGCAACAGCTGATTTCCAAGGGGGGCTTGAGAATATTAAAAGGAAAACGATATACATATAATACAAATGAAAACAATGAACACAATAGATATTTAAATTGTAAGAAAAAAAAAGGATTATATCAGGACAAACAAACGTCGGAAATTAGGGAATTGAAAATATTTAAGGAAACAGAATTTCTAACTTCGGATGGTAAGTTATTCCAATGTTTTGCACCACTATAACTGTCTAATACTTTTTTATATACTCAGTTTTAAGTTTTGGGCGATAGAACTTAAAATTTGAGCATAATTACGCAAATTGTAATTATGGCAGTGCATTGGACTAGTATCCTACAGGTCGCGGGTTCGATTCCCACCGTGGTCAGGCTAACTTTTCAGCCTGCCCGGTGTGGATATACACTCAGAGTAACATCAAAAACATTATATTCACCTGAGTACATAACATATATCATAAATTGAAACCATGTTGAGAATCGATTAGATTTTGAAATGATTCGATTAGAATAGCAGGGGCTTGCCCATGGATTATTTTATATATGAGTCTGGCTTTTAGGACAAGTCTACGTTGCATCAACGTTTTCCATTGAAGCTCATTTAAAGCTGCTTCCGATTGGCCATGCTCGTTTCTCTATCCTAGTATGATCCTGGCTGCTCTACTTTGGAGTGACTGAAGTCTATTTGAAAGTGTGGCGCCAATAGTCCAATGCACTGCCATAATTACAATATTACCCCCACACAAGGCAGCAGTAATCAAAATATGGCTGAACCAAAGGATAATAGACGGACAAAAATGTTTCACGAGTAACATATGGCTTAAGTCTAACGACACTTTTTTACATATTTCGTCCAATAAATATTGGACGATCACAATACTTAAAGACTTTTTGGTTGTCACTCGATTTACAGGTCTGTTGTCTGTCTGAATGACAGAATCATTTGTAAGTTTACTAATGCTTTGTTTGTTCCCAATTAATAAATATTCAGTTTTGATAAAGATTTAGGCATAATTTGTTTGCTAAAAGCCACTTAGTTTAGGACCTGTATATGAGTTTGTATGCATTTCATTTACCACAGGTAATCCCAACTGTTTTAGGGTAAAATGACCATGGCGGTCAACATGGCATATGTGACAAAACCAAATTTTTCTTTTAGGACTATTCTACAATGAAGTACTCTTGGATACTGTAATCTAAATACATATGAAGACGAAGAAGTGGCATTTATCGGGCAGAGAATCGGCGAGCCATTAAAATGGCGGCATATGGACGAAATATCGAAGGACACAATATCGAAGATAAAATACACTGCACTGCTCCAAAACTTGCCGAAACTTGGTTGAAATCTCCTTTAGCCATTTGCCATTATGTAAAAGTACAACAACTGGATGTTATTTGCGAGACACGGCGATATAAAGCAAACAAGACGGCAAAATATGGCTGAAATCGTGTTTTCGTGGGGGGTAAGTGAAATAAAATATATTATATTTATAGAAAACAGTGACTATCCTTATGAAAACTACAATAATTATATTAAATTAAGCATAGTTTTTCATCCCATGGTAATTTTTTTTAGGAAATAAGGATATTTAATTTCTGCCATGTATATTAGTTATTTTCTGCATAATCAGCAATTTACCTGGGGTGATAAATGGTCATTTTCTTGTAAAATATTATACTTACACAAATTTTTCCTTCCAATAACCACCCCTAAAAGCAACCCTTCTAAACACTATAAGCACTTCAGAAAGGCTGTCGCTTTTGCTTTTCGGAAGTTAGAGCTATGTCGGCACTGCCGTTTCAGGGCGGGGTCATTTTCAGGACTTTCGTCCAGGATTCAGGTTTTGGCACATATGCCATGTTGACCGCCATGGTCATTTTACCCTAAAACAGTTGAGATTACCTGTGGTAAATGAAATGCATACAAACTCATATACAGGTCCTAGACTAACTTGTGAACATTGATTAAGTCATGATTAAGTTTGGATTCAATTTCGGGTACTGCTTTCCCAGAAGCAGTGATAGTATAATCTGCAAACATTCTTACTGTTGATTTGTTAATACAATTTGGTAAATCGTTTATGTAAATTAAGAAAAGAATCGAGCCTTGGGAGATATGATGCTTGTGATGTTAGTCTGAGTGTATATCCACACCAGGCAAGAGTACATCATACCAACACAGAAAAAAATCATGATTACTAGATTATGATTACCGAAATATCACATACTCGAACCGACCTGACCGCGTAGCTCAGTTGGCAGTGCATTGGGCTAGTATTCCAAATGTGGTTCGATTCCCACCGTGGCCAGGCATATTTTTCAAGCTTGCCCGGTGTGGATATGCACTCAGATTAACATCACAAGCATCATATTCACCTGAGTACATCATACCAACACAAAAAAATAGGTACGCCAAGCGTACATGTATCTGCTCATGGTGATTGCACTGTTGCCAAGGGCTTCAATCAATACTCAGTAGCTTGTAAAAATTTTAAATAAAGTTAGATAAAGTTAGATTTATAGTATGTCAGATGAAGGAAAAATAAAATGGCTTATATATATTCAACTTGCAGAAACTAATTCCGGCCATAACTTCACAAAGATGATATTCAGTTTTAGTTTTATAATGGTGCTCTGCCAGCTCCGGTGCCGAGTTGTGTCGGACATGCGTGCCGCCCGCTCATCAACTTGCTTCACTACTGCAAGTCTTGCTTGACTACAGTATTTGAATTGTAATTGTTGTTTACAGTTCGCTTATCATCATATTACTCAAATTACTGTATCTCATTTTGTCTCTAATAATTTGTTGCTTTATCATGAAAAATAGCATCCTCCCTGTACCCCCTCTGGCCTTGGGTAGGGGAGTGCACCCCTCCCCGCATCCCCCCAGTAAATCCATCGCTGTGTTCTTGTTGAAACATTTCGGGTTCCAAATCTTCTTGATAGTTCATAATAAACTTTAGCAGGCATGCGAGCACATTGTAGATGCATAGAAGTTGTCAGGATAACAGGTGGTGCCAATATACATTTGCAGAGTTTTGAAAGCCTTTTTATATCATAATTGATACATAACATCAACATTTCTGCTGTTTATAATTGATCTATTTCATTTTAGAAAATGTCATAGTCAGGGTTGATGGCACACAAATCAACTGTTTATTCCTGGTAAATATATAAAATAGGTCATATATTGAAAGTCATTCATCAGTAACAAATGATGACAAGTATGGAAATTAGAAGTATAATCGATGCAAATAGTTCTTGAATAGAATGATATAATTCAGCACACCAGATCCATGCAATATTATTTTGTCGTGGAAGAAAATCCAATAAACAGAGTATTATGTTAGTTTTGTACATCATTGTGTGCTATAAATCAGATCCCATTATGACATATGGTTGTTGTTGATTATAAGACAATATAGTATGGGATAGGGGAAGGGGGATATAAATTGCTTACTTGGTGTTCTTGGCAATGACATTCAGTTGCAGAAATCAGGGTGGATGAAGAAGGGAGCACCCGCCCGCCCCCCCGGATATATAGTTATATACTGCAAGTTGATAATTATGACTGGTTGCAACTGTTACTATAAGTATTGATATTCCAATCTAAAGCTGAATCTCTGCTCTTTATGCAGCCACTATTACTTTGGCTTTTCTTTAATGAAAGCAATTATTCAATGCACATACTGCTATAAAGTGCTTTAAGAGAAATGTTTCCAATATTTGCTTCTGACTCTGCTAAATTTGTATAAAAATTATCTATCAAAGTCTGCTTGCAATGAAAGCAGACACCAATTGTCTATAGTTATGATCATTGATAAAGAAATTATGTTATTATTTATCTAACCTTACGAAATTATATAGCCTTCTATTGGTTTCATCATGGATAATAAAATAAATGGATAGGACTCTCGCTGACG